AAAAAAGCCGGCGGAGGGAGGGGGGGGGGGGGTTTCACCTCGGCGTATCTTCGCGAGGTGGTGGGGCCGGTCGTGGAGCGGACGGTGCGGGAGTTGCGCGCGGCGCGGCGGCCCTTCTGGGCGGGCGTCGTCCTCTGCTGCGTGGGGCTCTCGGCGACGCTCGGCGAGGGCGACGGCGACGCCGAAGCGGAAAAAGAAAACGAAGAAGGGGTGGTGGGGGTTCTGCGCGATCCTGGCGGGGCGGCGGCGGTGGTGGGGCTCGTCGAACGCGTTTTTCGCCTCGCGGATTGCCCCACGCAGGGGTGTGAGGCGGGGCGGGTTCGTCGCGCGTTGGAGCGTCAGGCCGCCACGGCGAGAGGCGGCTGCAAACCAAACGAAAAAAAAGGAGAAAGGGCGGAAAAAGGGAGTTTGTTCCCTGTGGGGAATTCCCCCCTTTGTGGACGCGTCGCGCACGCCCCGATTGAGGGTTGCGCGATGTGCGATTTACCCCTCCAAGGGGGTCGTCGGGCGGCGGAGGGGTGTTTGGTGGTGCAGTGCGCGCGATGCGGGCATGGCGGGCACGTCGCCCACATCCGCGCGTGGTGGCGCCATCCGAAGGTCACGGGATGCCCGAAAGGATGCGATTGCAAGTGTATCTATTGAAAAGACAAAAAAAATAAACCCGAGGGAGGGGGATGAAATCGTTTGTGGAAGTATGGTGAAATAGACATGGGAAGAGAAGGAAAAGGGATATCGATAGCTCCTCTATGCCATTTAGAGGATCCGTTGTGTTGATATGGAAATCCTTTTTTTCTTGGATTCGCCTCTATTTGTTTTGTGGGGTTCTCACCAAGATAATACACCTACACACACCTATACATATACACACCATCCCCATTGAAGGCGACATACGCATGCAGAGATGAAGGGGATCGGCTTTTTTTTCACATTTCTGGCGATCATTCTGATTTACGGGGTGGGAGTGTATGTTTATGTAAAGAAACAGACGCCCCCACCGCCGCATCACCAAGTTCGCCCGAAGGAATCCTTCGCGGAGCCGTCGGAGTGCACGACGCCGTTCGGAACGCTTCTCGGGGTCGTGAACGGCACCCCCGCGTTCAGCAACTGCCGTCGTGGATTACGCATGCAATGGGTGGGGTATTTCGATTTTAACGATCCCATGGACGTCAGCGAGCCGCGCGATGCAACGCACGGTAAAAAATTCATGACCGCCGCCCGCTACACCGCGATGGATTTCGTGATGCGGTGGTTCGCGCACAACCGTGGGTTGATGCTCACAGGCGGTAAGGATGTCGAATCGCTCGTGCAGAATGCCGCGTATTTTTACAACCCCGCCCACGGCACGCAGGAGTGGGATGCGGAGTTCATCCAAAACCATCGGGTCGGAAGGACGCCGGAGGAGCTGACGTATCTGCGCCCACGCGTGGGGGATATCGTGGTGTACGACCATGACTACAAGCAAGACTTCCCTGAAGGGCACATGGCGGTGATTGTCGGCGTGGAAAACGACATCGAAGGCGCCGGCGGGCCGCGAAACTTCAAGGAACGCCTCAATCGGATGGTTCCCCCGCGGATTCTCTACTTGGCGGAGCAAAACTTCGCGAACACGCCGTGGGAGGGGAGGAATTACTCGCGAATCGCGCACTTTCGATGGACGGAATCGTCGCATGGGGGGGCGCCGGAGGGGTACGTTGACGACCCCGTCGGACCGAGGGTGCTCGGACGCCTTCGCGTCGGGAAGCCCAGGCTTTCACGGGGGGGAAAAAGCCTCTATGAGAGTGGGGATGATCTTTAAACGGCATGAAAGAAAAAGAGGGGAAGGGTAAAACTTTCTGGAATATAAACTAATGTATGGTAGTAAAGAAGGGAATTTATTTTTTCATGATGTGAAATAGAACGTTATCTGCACTAACAGTTTACTTGGCTATTTTATCGTTGCAATGTGTCTATGCAGAGCACCTCATGAATCCGGGATAATATAATCGGAAAGTGAGGAAGGAGGGGAGGGGGTATGTTCTTGTGTTTAGTTTACATCTGGTGCTATTAATGCATCGGCTAGGTAGAAATCGAAAAAGTAAAGGGAACATCCACCTTTCGATGCCGTAATGACTTATTCGGAATTTTCGTTTTTCTTTTTTCTTTATGGAAATAAGAGATACACTTGCAAATCTGTCATCCTTAGTTTGATTGATCTTACTTGTATGAGGAAATGTTCTTCTAGGTGTGGCTATATTCATCTTCTCCCCCTTAGACATTATTAGATTTATCTTATATGAAATAGTGAATTCGCGCCGCTTACGCCGTCGTCTCTGACGCGATAATTGCGGGCTCCAGCGCAGCTCCTGCAAAATGAAAATCAGCGAGGAAATTCCCCACCATCTAAGCAAGGGTAGAAGAAAGAGGATCATCTGGAGGGGGGGGCTCAAGGCAGCAGCAGTGAATGCACGACCAACTAATAATGCGAGCCGACATGTCAACATCCCGCATGCAAATGCGTTCTGATGGTGTTTCGAAGTCTGTTTTACGTGGTCGCAGCCTCTTGTGTTGATCTTCATGCGATAAATCAACGCTAGAGAGGACCTCGTGGGGGAAGGCCAGGAAGCTCCTCAGTGTCAAAATTTGTCGCGCCTCGCATCGACCTTATTCCACCAAAAATTACCGTCATGTTCTTTTTATTGTATTGCCGCTGCCTCGCACAGGTAAAAAGAAAACAGCAAAAAGGCTTCCGTGAGATGAGCTGTTTTGTTCTAAAAAAAAAAACTTCAATGCGGGGGATGCCGCTGAAGGTGCGTGTTCAACAGATGTCAATAGGATGAACTGACGGTTGTCTTAGTGCCTCCAACGCGGGATAGCAATTCTGCCTCAGAAAATAGAAGCTTGTAAAGTAAGTGCTATGGGATCTCTTTTGATTTTGATAATTGACTCTGCTCTCTTCTTTTTTTTTGACAAAAGAGATAACGAGAGATCCAATCGTGTGGTTTCCCTCTCAGTTTGATGTCTTTATTGCTTCTCTTGTTTTCCTTCAAAAAAAAAAAAGGGAAGCTACGAAACGACCCTCCTTTGCTCCCATTCCATCCCTCGCCCTTACCATCCTCCCAACAGTCCACTCAATTTCAAAGTCATTCCAAGCTATTCCACCCACATCTCAACCCCCCAAACCCCCATCCGACCAATAATGAAGGTGATCGTCCTCTCGAGTATGCCAGGCTCCCGGCGGGAGGTCCTCGAGCTCCCCAGCGGCGCCACCCTTGACGACCTCAAACGCGCCTACCGCCCGGAGCTCTCCGTTCACCGGAAGTCCTTCAAAGTCCCGGCGAAGTCGGAGGATCCTTCCCGCGAGCGCAGCCTCATCACCCTCGTAGGGAAGCGCCCGCTCGCGGAGCAGGGCGTCGTGGATGGGGTCGAGCTCGTTTATAAGGATCTCGGCGCGCAGATCGATTATCGAACGGTGTTCGTTGTGGAGTACGCGGGGCCGATCGCGTTTATGCTGCTCTACGCGATGCGTCCGTCGTTCATCTACGGCAGCCACGCCCATTTCACGCCTTACGGCTACGCTCAGAAGGTGTACATCTCGCTCTTCCTCGCGCACTTCGTGAAGCGGGAGTTGGAGACCTTCTTGGTGCACAAGTTCAGCCGCCCGACGATGCCGTTGCGGAATATTTTCAAAAATTCGATCTACTACTGGTCGTTCGCGGCCTTTATCGGGTACGTTCTGTGCAACCCGAAGTACACCGCGGCGAGCGCGCTGCAGGTGAACCTCGGTGCCGTTATGATGATCCTCTTTGAGCTGCTCAACCTCGCCGTGCACGTGCAGCTCAGCGGGATGCGGCGCGCGGATGGGGATCAGAGCCGCGACGTCCCCAAAGGGCCGCTCTTTGCCCTCGTTTGCTGTCCGAATTACTTCTTCGAAGTGATGTCGTGGGTTTCCTTCTCGATCGGGACGAATCTCCTCTCGTCGTGGTTTTTCACCGCCGCCGGGCTGCTCCAGATGACGCCGTGGGCCCTCAAGAAGCACAGTGGGTACGTCAAGGCGGACCCGAAGAATAAGAAGAAGAAGTCGATCATCCCGTTTATCATCTAAAGATTCCCATCTATGTCTACCTGAAGGAGGAGGGGCAGATCTATAGTCGAGTAAGTCAGCAAACATTGTGGGGAATTTCCCCGTCTTTTGTTGTGGTTTAGGCTTTTAACGAGGTGAGAAAAAAAATAAAGGAATGCGCAATTAAATAATAGGGGCTTGAAACATATGAATTTAATATTTGTCTAAAAAAGTGTTTTATTATAGCACTAATCGTATCAGTGTCAGAGTTGATGCTCAGACGGCATGATTTAAAAATAATATACAAGGGATACCGGTGCTAAAGCTTTGTTTGTGGTGTTTGATCTTTTATTTTTATCGAAGTTGAACCTTTAATGGAAATATACTATTCTGTCAACATTGCGCAAAGTAAAATGCAAAGATTCCAGAGCCGCTTTAGATGGGAATGAAAAAGGAAATGGAAACATACCCGCCCTGTGGGGCCTTCTCTGAGGCTTCATGGGGGAGAGGAAGGGGAAATATTATTAATAACCTGAAAATATAAAGCATGAAAGATGTATACTGGCGTAGCTTAGCGAAAATGTTTTTTCTTTTTTTTTTGGGGAGGTTGGTGTGCGCATGTTGCACTTAAACTTAAGACGAAAAAAATGCTAAGCCAAGGTTTAAAAATTCTGACGGAAGCGTGGTGGTGAGAATTTCTGAGATCTTGATTTTACAGGCCTTGTTTTTTTTCTTTTTGGAGTAATCTAATATATTTATATGAAATAGTTTTGGGAAAAGCATAACAGATGTTTCTGATTTTTTCCGCCTAATCTGCTGTTCACAGTCTCTTCAATGGTCCTTTCCGATCCTCACGAGGATGACTTCTCTTGAGACCCACGTTCCCTTCTTTTCCGACTTCTTACTCTTCCCGTTGCGTTCAATCCCAAACCTGCTTCATCCAAGAGCGGGTAACGGAATTTATTCGTCCGACCGACACCACCCCATCCCACCATCACCACCCCAACGCCTCTCGGTGAAATCGAAAGCCGAGCCCCTACCGTCTATTCATCCGCGTCGCTGCGTCCCCCTCAAAGCGGACCCCTCCATCCGTCTTCGTTTGAATCCCCCCCTCCCCCCGCCTTCTAATCCGTGGAAAGGGGGGATGTCCAGCTACCAGCCCACCACCGACGCCGCGCGGCGGTTCATCCTCGCCCATCTCGACTGCGACCTCGAGGAGCTCGCGGCCGCGGGGCCGGCGGCCTCGCCGCTTCGCCCGGTCTTTCCCCTCCCCTCGACCCTC